TTCTCTGTACCATTTGGGGCTAGATATGATGATGTTAAGTATTGTAATGTGTTGCCAACTTTGGCTGTACTCCAAGAGTGGATATCATTTTTCATTCCTAAACCAAGATAGTGAATAAAGTGGAATACATTCAGGATACTGACTCCATTGTGTCTTTCTGCCTTTTGAAGGTTTTTCCAAGTCTCCATTGGCAAGTTCCATTTTGGGGATGCTTTGATGAGGTCACTGGCTGTTTTAAACCTCCTGTAATTTTCCATAGTACCCATTACTGATAGGTAGATGTTTTCAGTGGTTTGGCTAGGATTATTGCATGTCTTATCTTCTGGGTAATACTTTGATGAATTCACATTTGACCAAATCAGTGGATTAGGAAATTCACATTTAAACTTGAAATATTCTTCAACTTTGTTCAAGAAACTAAGCCCATGCTTCTTTGTAGAAGCTAAACTTTGCTTGATCAGCACCCAGTTCTCAAGAATTGTCTTTTGAACTATTTGATTTGTGAATGTTATTATTCTCCTGTGTAGTTCAAATTTTTTCAGCTTAGGGTTTACACCTTGCAATTTCTTGATTTGAAGGACAAACATGTCTTGATTCAAGTTCCATAAAAATTTCAGTATTTTATATTGTTGATTGCTCAGTTCTTGAAGTGGAAGATGATTCTGAGCATTGGAGATTTTCAACTGGGCCTTCAATGTTTTGAGCATGAAATTTTGGAGTTTATTAATCACAGATTTGGGCATCTCAGATTCACAAAACCCTACTGTTGATCTTTCCCTTGATTGTATAAGTTGGACAATTTCCAACAATACAGGCTGTGAAGTATGCACAACATCACTCCATTTTCCCTTGATAACTCCAGGGAAAATTTCACCAGGATTGGGAAATTCATTTGGTTGGAAAGCCATCCGTATTCTTTGCGAGGCTGTCCCTTGTATTCTCAGTTCCGATTCTCTTTCACCCTCAACAATCCATTCGATAGCTTGTGAGATGTATATACTTGTATTTTTTCCTTCCCTGGGAATTGAAGTTTTTGGCAAATCAATCTTTTGGGCTGCCAATTCACTGCCATCTGAACAACCAAGTCCCTCCATGAGTTTTTGACTGCCACAATCATCTTGAATTGCTCTATCCACCAGCTGGTCTACATTTTTACGCGGTTCATTAGAATCAGGCTGGCATTGCTTCCTGGATATATACATCAACCAATGAATAAGCTTAGTTTTGTTAAGTTGGAAATTCTCATGGAGTAAAGAGAATAAGGAAAGAAACAAAACACCCACCTCTCTTGCGCTTGTAAAGCATCATTCTCCAAGGGAAGCAAAGACTGTCGTCTCCTATCCGCCTGCTTCAGAGCAGTTTGCTTCTTCTTCTTTTTGGCTTTACTGCTTGATTTTTCTTCTGTATTTTTTGGCATACAAGCCCCGTGACACCTATAAGTAAGTCAATGGGGCATTTGAGTGTCTGAGCTATGCATGAGCACTTCATTCTACTCACGTTTTTAATTTTTCAACTTCTGTGTCTTGATCAGCTCCCAAGTCGCGCTGCTTTCCGTCTTTTTCCTCAACGTTAATCGCCGTAGATTCGTTACCAGGTGATGATGTGGATGGCGCACCAGTGATGGAAGCTGCAAGGCTTGGTTCGGTTTGGCTGGGAATTTCTTCTGTGAAAATTTCTTTCCCTTTCTTCTCTGCAGCACAGATGCTCTTCCTCTGGTATCCTTGGATGGTCGCAGGCTCGAGAGACGGGCCTCCAACCGCAATCGTCCAAAGATTCTCTCTGCCTAGAGTGGTAATGAGTATCAAGTGTGTCAGCAGTCTAACTCGATTTTTTAACATCGCGTAAATAGACAGCAGGTAACACGTGAATGGTCGGGTTTTGATGAGGAATATCAGTAGAACGATTTTTGTTTCGAAAGGGCTCCCGAATGTAGCCTCAGTGGATTATATTATAACGAAGCACAGCAGACACATGGCCAACTAGATAGCAAAGCATGTGTGTACAATCATGCATCATCCCTAACAATCGTTTCATAACTGAAAGAAAAGTTGTATATAAAGACAAGAGGGCATACAATTCATTGGCTTGTCCTTTCATCAAACATGAGCCAGTTTATTCCTACATAGCAGCCGAATTCAATCATCTAGTCCATCCATGAGACCTTTGTCGCAGTTGACCCCCGAGGTTCCTTTAAGCCAAGGGTCTCGTCTCTTGTGCAGGACTGAAGGGGTTGCAATTCGGGTAGATAAACACTTATAACAAAGATATCTATCAGTATTAGACACCTCAAATGTCACAGCGCCCCACAATATTATACACCTCTCCAGTGAGACGCGGGGCTGGTCTGCCTATTAGCGGCTTGAGTTACTTAGGTTCGGCTGGGTTCGGCTGTTGCAATTGCACGGCAAGAGTTCAATGTTTGTTTGTGTCACTATTGCGTCCCAAGAAATGTTTGTTGATCGGAAACAATATATGCGATCAACTGGGGTCACTTTCTGCCATGAGTTTGAATCAGTTGGCTTTAATTAAAGTCTTTCTGCAAAGATTGAACAATATTCTGACAGAGCTGCTTCAATCTTCAGTGAGGAAGACAATTCAAACCAAATCACCAGGAAATCTGGAGAAAATTGGCAAAGGAATTTTCTATCGGTAGTGTTATTTTTTTACCCAATAAACTTGGTTTTCTAATAGTCCATGGCAAAGCTTTGGAATACATTCTCCACATTTTTTCTGTGATCCTTCCTGATAATTTATTTTCCTGTATCATTTCATCAAATTTAAAGTACATTTTCTTTTTTTCAATCACAATGGCTGGGTTTCATGTCCAATGATGATTAAAGATGAAACACTGACCTTAATTCACAAGAGAGTATGGAAGTTAAAGTAGCTAACATGTGAGGAAGTCTCAGACCGTTGAAGTTGAACAATATTTCTAATTACTGTTGTCAACTTTGCTTGATAGGGTTAGTTGGCTTGTTCTTTCCCAAGTTGTATCAGTTACATAGTCGTGAACATCTCTTAATTAGGCTGGGTCAGCTTTTCATGTGGCCCTGCAGTATGTGCCAATCAAGCTTGACAAAAACATGACCTCCAAAAAATAGAATGGCCCGTTGATCTCCACACCATCTTTCGTGTTAACTTGCGGCAAAAATGGAGTACCAGCCCACTTTTTCTGATAAGGCCCACCCAAAAAGCTCATCTTGATATTAGAAGTTGACACCATACACGCCAAAAACACACCTTTTTCCACCCACTATTGTTCCCTCCCAACAATTTAAAGTGTATGTATCCTTACAACATACACATAGATGCAGACACAGAAGAAGAGAACAGCGCGACAGAGAGAGCAATTGAATCAAGAATGAATATTTAGAGATAACTGATGACGACAATGATCACTTCAGAACAATCAACAACCAGGATATATCCATTACTAAATCGATTACAAACAAACAAACAAACAAACCCACAAACCCACAAACAAGAGTATTTGGATTATATATGAATAGAGTAGACAGGAAAGAAAAGAGCTAGAGAGAAGAGAGAAGAAAAACTCAGCCATACAACGCGTAGAATTTTCCATAGATGATCACAACATCACACACACACGAGTTCTACAAATTAACTGAAACGTGTTTCTTTTTTCTTTTTTTTTAATGTATCAAAAGGAAGCGAAGAAGAGCAGAGAGGGAAGGGGAGGAGGGAGAGAGAGGGGTAGTGGATGGGAAGAATTAGAGCGAGCATCATTCTTCCTCCTCGCATTCGGCGTCGATCTCCATCTCATCCTCGACCTGTCTGATCGATGTTGATCCGTCCTTAGCGCTTCCTTCGATTTCCTCCTCCTCATCTTCCTCCTCTTCCTCCTCCTCCCCATCCTCCTCCTCGGCATCTTCCTCCTCGTCAGCTCCTTCGCCCTCGGCCCGGCCCTCGACACGGAGAGCGGGGCCGTTTCCGTTTGAAAGCGGCTGAGAGACGGGCGGATGGGGCCGTAGACTTGGGAGTACAGCTGCCGAGGCTGGGTTAGAGTGGGCATGCTCGGAGGGGTGACGGTGATGATGGTGGTGGTGATGGTGGTGTGGTGATGGATAGCGGCTGTGGTGGTGGTGAGCAGAGACGGACATCGAGCGAGCGCCGAGTTGGTGATGCGGGAAATGGTTGTTGGGCGCTGTAGGACTGTCAGAGGCCGTAGAGAATCGGGCACTCGCCGTCGGGTCGGCAGAGATCGGCGCGAGTTGATGCGCGTTGGCAGACATCCTAGGATTATGGGATGGCGCCTGAGTTGGAAGAGGCAAGTTTTGAGGATATTGACTGTGAGGGATCGGCGGGGGTGGTCCGTGGTGAAGATTATTAGTATTACTATTGTTACTCGAATTCAGCAATCCAGTGATCCCGTTCATTGGGATTGGTTCTGTTGATCTGCTGAAGTTTCGATTAGGTACTTGTCCATGACTGTTGTTGGAGCTTGGTGCTGGATCATTGTAGCCCCTATTAGGAGGTGGGAGGTTTTGAGGATGAAATCCGTTGTGGGGCGATGGGATGGAAGGTGTTGGGTTCGGATTTGAAGTAGATAGTGGGGGATTGGAAGTAGATGGTTGAGCTTGAGGAGGGACATTCAAATCAGCTGCTTTGGCCGCGTTGGCGGTGATCGTTGCCAATGCTTCGTAGAGCACCCTACACAGGGACGAGTGAGAGTGTTATCAGATAAGGCCTTCTCTTGTTGAGTATGCTTGATTGGTTAAAAGAGCACTCACGATCGCTCGATCCTTAAGCGTGAAACGTTTTTCTTGGATTGCAAGATTTTCAGCTGCGTGTTTTGATTTTCCTGAGCGAAAGAATCGATGGATGAAAGTCAGTTTTCAGTTTTTCGTGGAGTGGGATTATTCTATTCTTCTGAAGTATTGTGCTGGATGACCGAGATGGGGTCGATCGATCGGACGCTCGATTGGAGGGGTCGAGACTTACCCGTTCGATCTCTCGTATCTTTGCCCGTAGTTCGTGACACTTTGTGCCGTATCGCTGTTCGTCGGCCATCGAGGGTAGTGGGTTTGAATAGGCCTTTGACTTTGGCATTCCGACTAGGGTAGAGGTGTTCAAGTAAATAAGTGAAGAGTGCTTTAGGTTATGTAGATTGGTTTCTGAGACGATTATGTAGGATTAGAATTGAACGAAGTCGATGATGCAGCTGGGATATTATGAGGTAGATGTCTTATGCTGGTTGTTGTTGTTGTTGGTTGTTAGGTTTGGCCATCGGAGGGAGCAAAGAGCAGGAGAAGCTGCGTCGATGGGCCTGACTCTGAGTTTATATAGGCACAGTTTCATACCACATAACATAACATAACATCACCAGACATCCCACATAACACGCTACTACAGTGTGTCTTGCCGGCTGACGTGATGACTCCATCCTCATCATCAATCCATCCTAAAAGCAGACACACACTAAGCCTCGTACATACCTCGAGAGGGAAAACATACGACGAATGGCTTCTACATAATACGTAGACATAGAGGAACTTGATTTATTAATTTCTTGATCAATAAATTTGGTGGAGTACATCCATTATAAAAGATACAACCCAAAATGGTGATTTGATCCATGATCAACAGCGACCACCATATAAGCCGGAAAATGAGTAGGGAAAAAAGATATCAAGACAAACAACAGAAAGGATATCGAGAGATGAGAGGCACAATCTCAGGAACTCTAGCAGAGACCACAGTCAGTTGCACGGAAAACAGTCAGATAGAAATTAATAGAACCAGTCGCAAGAAGGAAAGAAGAAGAAAAAAACTGACCATTATAAGAGAGCATTGAACAATCACAAACAGCCTCAGATACGAGAACAACTTTCCTAAAAACAGAAAAAAAAGCCAAAAAAAAAACAAAAAAACAAGCCAGCTGTTCACCCCAATCCATTGTCCTTTTTTGGGGGGGAGGGGGGGGGGGGGGGGCAGAAAACATAACTCTTGAGAAGGCAGGCAAGCTTAATCACAGTGACATGCGGAAGCAATATCGGCCACCTTATCATCAAGAACTTGCGCAACTTTTAAATCCCCAGCTGAGATGAAATTCTAATAGAAGTCATATACTACTCATATTTTACGAAGCCATCATGACAATGCAATCAAGATTGCCGGCCACCATTTAGCGCAAATAAGCCCAATCGGAGGACGAGAAAAGGATACCATACGATCATCTATCAAAATCATATATTCCCCATTCCACTGCTTGTATATATAAAGTCGTGCAAGAACACGCATTCAAGTCACACTGATCCGCGAGCCAGTATCAGTCATAAGACAAAAAGAAAAATAGCGGAATAGTGTTTGAAGTTGTGAAAATAAACCGGAGATGAAGTGATGGTTTTGAGGGCATTTCCCTGCAGGTTGTAGTCTGTGCCTTCGAGTAGTGTGGATATGTCCAGCCTGCTTTGCTCTTCCCATGTCGATATACATAGTCTGCATCCATGATCAAATAGAGATTGGAAGCAGGAGTCTTTCGATGAAGATGTGTCAAAGAGAAAACATCACCATCATCACAGGAAAAAAAAACCCTGAGTCAATCAGCTGCTTTGGGGTTCCTTTTCCCAGCTGTCGGATATCAATCGAAAAAAGCAGACAGAAACAAAAAACAGGCAAGCAGGCAGGCAGACAAAATTCCGTTGGAGAAACGTTTCGAAACAAAGACTTACCATCGTACCTCCTCCTCCTCCTTCCACTCGGTCCTTGCGAATTCTCAGACTCCATATCCCTCAAGACTTTGGTAAGACTCTTTATTATGAAGAACTTGATTCAAGACTCATCAAGACTCAAGAACGATTATTCAAGAAGAAACGAAGGGTGATCAGAGACCGGGGATCAGAGTGTCTCGAATGCTAGTAGGAAAATGATCAAGAAAATTGAAAGCACGGAAGGATTAAAGCAGGGATGTGGCTCCTAAAGAGAGCTTTTTGAAATGCTAATCTGATGGTACTACTCGTCAATCATCACGCCTCGAGACTGAGCATGGTGGGAGTACAATAAGTATTTCAAGGAGATCTGTAAGGAGATAAAATTCCAAGGTTTTTTAATATGTACATTCTGTGTAGATTTTACGTAAACAATTGAGTTGAAGAAAAGTAAAGTGTTTTGATAAGTTTTGATCGGTGAGAGTGAAGTCATGATTTTTTCCCTATACCGCTACACATTCTGTTCAGTTTTTGTATGAACTTTTATGAACTCTTTCTTTTCCTTTCTCTTCTACAACTTGAATTTTTTTTATCTCCCTTTTTCCTTTCACGGTTGCAAGCAAAAAAATGCAATACATATCTGATGGGATAAAGTTGCGCGGGGAAGTCATGGGAAATCCGACCACGATCGTCGACGGTCGAGTTAACCCAGTTAATTTTAATCATACCAGCAGTGGTCTGAATTAGTCGCCGGAGTTTCAGCGCCGCTCCTGGGTCTTGCCGACTCCATGAAACTCTGACTGGCTGCTGGCATTCAGCAGGTCGGAAAGGTTGGAGCCCAAAAGCAATACATTCAAGAATAAGTATGCCGAAAAGGCTGCCGAAAAATGAAAGACAAACCAGTCGAAATAACTCGGCCGAAAACCCATTCCACGAGGCCCGATCATACCCGCAGAAATGGCGAACGAAAAAAAAGCTGTCAAACGGAATGAAGTGTAGCAGCCATTTACGTAATATCCGATCAACCAAAAAACTTTGAAAGGATTAAGATCCAATATTCGTATGCTGCGTATGCGATCGCAGCGAGAACCCACTCGAGTTTATTGATGATGATGACATTGTCATAGAAGGCAGGATGGCGCCATTCGGGAGGTGACTGATTGAGTACACAGGTGTTTAATCGAAACTGCACTGGAAAGAAAACCTCTCAGAGTCGGGTGGAAGAAGGATTCCGCCTCAGACCGCTCAGGCACACCGGAGGGAATATTGAAACTGTGGGAAAGAGAAAGAAAGTGTGTAAGAACCTTAAGGGCGGAGAAGAGCAAGCCGTTCTGGACCTTGGAGGCTTGGTAATCGCTACACTTCGCAAAACTGGGTCAACGGACCGGCCGGACCGGCTATCTGACGGGTCGATTGGAGACGCTCACTCTCGACAGCTCTCGGCCTTCCGAATCAAATGCCTGGTGTTGGTCACCCACTCTCTTTGGCAGAGGAATTGCGAGTCGGAAGACACGAGAGCCGCTGGCTTGACCAAGGGCCCAGGCCCATGAAAGGACTCATGCCGCGAGACAGGTCATGTTTTCGTCACATTTTCAACAAGCCGCAATAGGTTCAGCCAGATACTGTGATAAGCTTGAAAGTCCGCGCAGTTGAACAGCCAATTTATCTCTAGCGGATTACGTCTCACCGGGTGCTGCCGACACAGGCCGGGAACAGCGCTTGTACATGCCTTCAATTGACACATAGCCATCGAAATTAAACAAGAAAAATAAATAATCCCCGCACAAGACCAAGAATGGCACGATAACAAAATAAATAGTTTTATCTTGAGTACAAAGATTGAGAAAACAAAAAAATGGAAAGCACAGTCTTTGTTGAACTTGGGGCAGGGGGCAAAAGATGCACTGTACAACTAGAGTTATAAGGACCTAATTGATAGGTGTGAATATGCACAATTCTAAACCATTGAGCCTTTCAAACAAGATAGGACCCAGGAAACCCCCCATAGATGTCAGTAACCAAAGTGTATGAATTTTTTTGGCAAAACCCAAAATGATACTCACCAAAAATGTATGAATGGGTATATTTGGGCATAATGTTACTCACCTGAAATGCATGGAACTTTTGGGGGACAATGAAGGTTAGTAACCAAAAAGGTATGATTTGTTATTGTTATTTTCCGTTTTTGAACCCCCCTCCTTGCCAGTGACCCATCATTTTTTGAATTTTATGTCACCCCTGTCGGATTTTTTGTCCCCCCCATGATATTTTTTTAAACCCCTGTCAGTTTTTGGCAAATACAATTCCTAAGAATCAAATCTCTCAAAAAGAAAGATCAAGCTATTGATAGTTAAAATCATAAGTTCCTGCCACTACATGCTGTATGCAATGAAAGGGATTTCTTGCTTTTTTTCAAGGCCCAAGTTCCTAGCAGGAATGACTAGCTGTAAAAAGGTTTGGCGATGTGCTTCCTGTTGGGATAAAAATGGTACAGACAAAAAAATATATGAAATTCTAGCCTCCAGCCAAAAGAAATGTTAGGCACAAAAATCGTATGAAATTTTTGGCTGACCTCTGAGCATACACACCCAATGTGTATGAATGAGTCCCAAAAATGTATGAATTTTCTGAAAATCTGGGATTTTAGGTCACTGACATCTACAAGGGGTTTCCTGGGTCCTAACAAGATGCATCAGTATGACATTTTTTGAATAAACCAGTGATGTTAGTTTGAATCAATTTGAATCAAGCTGAGTCAGCAATCACATGTGGCAGTTTTTCCAAAAGCCAGTAAGGTTTTCTTACGTGTTTGTAGTTGAGTTTTTTGTATTCCAAAAGAAGAAGAAAAGCCCCACAATCAAGAATTATAAATCTGATACAAAGAACCATGTTCAAAGAAATAATAATCTCTATTTTTCATTTCCTCTGGTTGATTTTATGTCATTTTGTCATCTACAGTTGAAGGATATCTATGTTTCATATTACTTACTAATCATAACAGCTTAAAGATCAAAAGATGGGATGCAAAAAAACACACAGTTCACAGTCCCATATTTCTGACTAATCTCAACAAATTCCATAAGATTACTAAAACCTGTGAAATTTATTTTAAATCAGTGCCCTACTGATGCAACCTGTTCCAATCTGCTTGAAAAAAATATGTATACAACATATTGTGTTTGCAAGAAAGCTTGGATCATTTCGCTTTTTGGATTTTTTGTAATCCTTGCAACTTATGGATTTACCTTTCTGCCTGATTAATTTCAAATATGTTTCTGCCTCAGGTGTCCCACAGGGCTTTCATCTTCTTTCTCAGCTCATTTGACGGTCCAGTGCTCAGTTGGCATCACCGATGGGGCAGAAGGGAGTGACCGGCGGTCCAGGTGAGCAGCTTATAGGACCTACAAACTGCTCCGGTTCCAAATATGAATCTTGTTTTTTCTTAATTCTACTCCAAGAGCATCTACTGAAGCAACATGGCTCCGGAGGTGGTTTTATCCCTGGGTCTTATCTGACATTTGTCAAGATAAAACCCGACTGAGAAAATGAAAATGGGGATTAATAAACGTACCCGGGTTTTCCGCGTTTAAACCCGGTTCCCCACACCCGGTTTTCCGCATATGAACCCGGTTTCATTTCTCCTTTTTCATGGGGATTTGGAGGCCAAGGGCAATTTTTAAAATCATCTAAAATGCCAGTTTTAATATTCCAGTCCCTTAAAAATGCCTAAATTTGATTTTGATTTTAATCTTAATTTTCCACCCGGTTTTGAAAAACCCGGTTTTCTGCGTTTACACCCGGATTGGTTTGATTACATAATTAGATGACACAGGTTCGACTTTGGGTGATGGAGCCCGGTCATGGAGGTGTTCAATCCTCCATGACCAAGGAATGTGCCTCGGTCATGGAGGATTGCACACCTCCATGACCGAGGAAAATTACTTAGACATGGAGGTGTGCAAACCTCCATGACTGAGTCAAACACCTCGGTCATGGAGGTTTACACCGCTCCATGACCGAGTAATACACCTCGGTCATGGAGGTTTACACCGCTCCATGACCGAGTAATTCACCTTGGTCATGGAGGTTTTCACTCCTCCATGACGGAGGATTTTTACTCAATCATGGAGGGGTGGAAACCTCCATGACCGAGTAAACCACCTTGGTCATGGGGGTTTACACCCCTCCATGACCGAGTAAAACTCCTTGGTCATGGAGGTGTTCACTTCTCCATGACCGAGAGGATCATATGAGGTTTTCAGAGCGGGGGAAGCTGCGGCACGCAGCGCAAAAAAGAAAAGAAAAAACCCAGGTGTAAACGCGGGTAAGCGGGTTTATCAGAACCGGCTATGAAAATTAAAATTAAAATAAAATATTAAAATTCCTATGTTTTAGACACATAGGAATTATTTTTATGATTTAAAATGGTTTTTGGAACATTTTAAATGTTCTGAAAACCCTTGGAAAAGGTGGCCAGGAACCGGGTTTCAACGCGGTAAAGCGGGTACGGCGGAGATGTTGAGATTACGGCAAAACCGGGTTTAAACGCGGAAAACCCGGGTACGTTTATTAATCCCCAATGAAAATATGGGATTAGCAATATCAAATTCAAAGGGTTACAAAAAATTCAAAAAGCGAATCAATCCAAGCTTTCTTGGAAACACAATACATAGTGACACAATATCCTGTGCCACTTGGTTGAATAAATTGAAAGGGACTTCAATGAATGACCCCCTCCAATTGGAGCAATGGCTCTCAACCCTCCGACGTCATGCTTGGGTCCCCAGGACCCAATTTGGGGCCAGGTACTTTGGGAGTCACCCATTCGGCTCCCTGGATCGGGTGTTGTTCCCCTACCTCCCCAAGGATATTTCCTCCTGTATGAGTAAGTACGGTCTGTACCTCACGGCCGGGTGGGATTCCTCCTCGGCCGGTATGTAAGGTCTCTACCCATTGGCCAAGGGCAATTCATCTTCGGCCGATGGGTACCGGGTTAGACCTACTGGCTGGGAAGGAATTCTCCTCGGCAAGGTGCACTGGTACATTGTGTACCTATAGGCTGCGGGTACAGGGGAGAAGTCATCTTGACCGGTAGGTACGGTCTGCACTCATCGGCCGAGGAGGACTCAGTCCCAAGCATACTTACCGGCCGAGGAGGACTCGGTCCAAAGCGTACTTACCGGCCAAGCAGGATTTGCCGATGTAAATAGCCATACCGACCGGCCGATGTTTTACATTAGAATATCACATAGACTCAGCCTTTAACCTATTTGCCCCCATCATGCTCACATTTCTGGCCCAACTCGCTTATATCAATATAGGCACTTGTGAGGTTTGGTGTTTAATACATTCTTCCCCTCTCCATCACATACCTTTGGATGGGCCAAACCAAACTTAATGTTAGTCCCATCCTCTTCAGGATGTGGGGCAGCCTTTTGTGATGCAGGCATGCTGTATAGCCTATAGGTGCTTCATAGGTCTCACTCTCATTCAATCAACTACACAACAGAAATTTCAGTCATGAACAAGTGTAAAGCAGTCATCACAGACTATAAAATCAGACTCTCAAGATCACATGGTCTATTCCTCCCCCATCCCATCATTGTGTAGGACAACAGTACTAGTACCAATCAGCATTATTCTTTTTGAAAATTTTTCAAAATGTTTACAAAGATTACATTCTTGTTTTACTTCCTGACTTTCATACTCACCAACAATCTCATAAAAGGGATGGATAGATACAGATTCCCAAATACTGGGGGAATGAGCAAAAAACATGGCCCCATCAGAACAGGAACAGCAACACCTGGAGAAAAGAAATCATGCTGTACTATCATGTGAAGCTCATTCTCACTCCATATTTATGTACACATTCTTGTTTCTTTCTGAAAAAAAAATCAAGTTAAAAAGGCTTGGGTGTATGTATTTGAAAAAGTCCTTGACACAAACTTTCTGCTCCATCCACTTCTTCACTTGGATGATTGGTTTGAGTTGTTCATCTTTAATCACCAGACAGCCCCCAAATTGGAAATTGAAATGATTATATAGATTCTATACTAGAAAAGGATGAAGACCAAATCACCCAAAAAACTTCCTCTCAACTTCCCTTGTACCCATGGAGACAGGCAATATCATTTCCATTGTTCTCTTCTTTTCTGTCAAGAAAAATCAACAAAAAAAAAACCAAATAAAATTGTTTCAACCTGTGCAACTTTCTTATTTGCTTTCTTCACTTCCCTTTCTCTGCCAGATTTTTCTGATGGAGTTCTATCAACTTTGATCTTTTTTATGTGTGAATTTACTCTCAGAATCTCAAAAGTTGCAGTCTCTCAACTTCCAAGCACCATTTGGCCCCCGGGGCCCCGCCCCTTCTGATCTGATAGATTCACACTTTCACTCTCCTTTCAAACATTCTACCTCATCAATCTTGACCTTATTTCCATTGATCTGTTGTGACCATTTTCCCTCCTTTTTTGGGGGGAGGGGGGGGGGGGGTGGGTGATGGCCCCTTCTGTTTACTCCCCAAATCTAAGACATCATATATAAACATAGCGGGCCGTAATGTCATACAGACATCAAATCCCTAAATGTGAAGTAATCCAGACTGTGTGCAACTGGTTTTTTGTGGGTATTCTCCAGTCGACCCGTAGTACTTCTATACTCAACCCTTACAAGGTCCACTGAGCCAAATGAGCCGAGGATTATGTATGTATTTACTTGAGATAGATTCGCCTGATGAAATGGGTGCAGAAAAGCACCGGACTGCCAGAGCATCACAGACGGGATCGTGTTCAACCCTAGAGGGACAGGAAGACAAGGGGGCCAGTCGAGCCCGTCCAACCGGGGACAAATCTACGCAACGCCGATCATTGCAGCACATCCTGGCCGGTTGAAGAGCTTGGCTCACGAGTCAACCGGCCAGGTGTCCCACCCAGCTTACATGGCTATGTCAAGACACTTCCTGGGCCCAAGGGAATGATCATATTGGGGTCGAGCCATAATGAGAGAGGAACACTGTTTCGCTTTGTAGGCAGAAGGCCAAAAAAAGGCCCAAAATTAAGAGCGGCGACCATGGAAGACTCCAACAGGCAACCAACCGGACACCTGAAAAAGAATCGCGGTGGGGGGTGTTATACAACAAGATATTGATGAAAATTCACGACCAACTACGGCGGTGAACTCTTTACTGGTTGGACCGCCAGTCGAAACCTGAGCGCTAGAACATTCCGGATTCTAGACATACCGAGCACAGTTTTGTAAACACTTTCTCGAAGGTTGATCTTCGTTTTTTGAGCTTGATCGCCATGGAGCAGGCCGCAGGGGGGGGGGGGAAACGTGGCAGGTCCGGGCACCATAGCAATCCAGAAGCCATCTCCAAAACCGATTCTTCAAAGCCGAGTACTCAGAGTTATCCACACTACATAGTAGTAGTCAGGACAAGGCTGTTCTGGTAGGGAAGCCCGCCAGCTTCCATCCACGGCTCAAGCCTCAACGATTCGCAGGATCGTGTTATAACGTGGCGATGAGATGTGGCTCTGTGCAATTGAGACTATAAAGAGAAGCGGCCACCGTAGTCATTCAGGAGAGACACACATAAAAAGACCCACCTTCTGACCGCGCGCTCTGGGTCCGGAACGATTATCATATCACTGCCAGCTTACATATCCCGAATTACCCAACGATATGTCTACGGGGAACGATTGGCAGAGAGGATCCCTCGGCTTCGTACTCGTCACTCTCATGATCATTACCCTTTACTTGGGCCAGGTTGCAGCCGGGACCACACAGCACTGCGGCTACCACTTCTCCCCCACCAGCTCGAAGGGGAAGGGAGCGTGTAAGCACCAAGACCTCCAATATATGTACCAGACAGCTGTTTCACAAACACAAATTGCTTACCCCCTAGAGGAACTCTGAACACCCTCAGCTTGCATGCAGGACGATAAAGATGATAAGTTGTGCGTTCTCGACAGCTGTACCAGCGATGCTAGCGGATTAAAGTGTGAGCTGGAATACGTTATATGTATGAAGCGGTTGTGTGCAGTCTAATGTGATGATTTTGGAAGACTGACGACCCGGCCACTTTATTGTACTTTCCATGTGTGCCGCACTGGCTCGTATATTTTCACTGATGATGAACCAGGGGACTTCGTTCGCTACAGTTATTGCAGCCACGGCCATCGCATCACACCTGATGCAGTAAAACCAGCTCAATATTTTCGTCGAAAGGACTACGTTGGTGAGTCTTGATGTCGAAAACCATTGACTTGCAAGGAGGCGATCGAAGATTGCTCGAATACTCAACTCATGTACTTTTGAGCGGTCCATATGCTGCAGAGGTCCAGAAAGATGGGACCGACCAGTGGGTCGATTGTGCTTACTCGACTCCAACCGACTATCAGATGAGTGAGTCTTCTGCAAGCTCATAGTCAATTCTTTTAAGCCTTGAGACAATCTGACCCGGGTGCTCAAAACTACTAGCCTGTTCCGACTGCTCGTGACCATCGTATTAGCCCTCAAAAGCTCAGCAAAACGGGCCTGCCGGGGACGAAACGGTTGGATAGAAGAGCGTCGATATCTTCTCTCACTCGACCCGACACTGCAGTTGTTTCATTAAATCTTTATGGACCTATTCTAGTCATCAGCCTCCTCATTGTATCCAGAACGAACTGTGTATCTTGACGATCAAGAATGTACTACCCCATTTCCTCTGTATTTTGCGAATGCTTCATGAGATCCTCATGGCCGATGAGGCATCCAATGGGTCACCGGTTTTGAGGTCCCGACATTGGATCATCAAGCGAACAACTGATCCAATTTAAAATGCATGAAAAAGAAAAACAGATCATCAACGTGGGAAGAGACGTAAAGAAAAGAAAAAACTAAACAACTATGAAGAAGATCATCAGAAGAGAGATCAAGCAGAAAAAACAGGTGATGGGGAAAGTGTAGCCGAGCGAGACGAGTGTTGTACAATCAGTCTCGGTACAAAAAATAAAGCATCACAGGAGAGAGACTGAAAGATTGTAAGAGCGGTGAAGAGGTTGCAATTGATATAAGATGTTAGAAATGGCGAACATCGGCTAGGTATGAAGATGTGGGATGCAAAGTGAGGAGCATCTATCTTCGAGCTGGCTAAGGGGACACATGATTGATAATAATAAAGAGATGGAGAAGAGATAAAGAAGCAGGAGGTGAGGTCTGCTTAAGCAAAGACTGCCAGGACTGAGGCAGCGACGGCAAGCCCAGCGAAGAAGGCTTGTTGGCTGACAGCAGAGACGGACGAGGCGGCACTACCGGGAGCGTTGTTGGCAGGAGTGTTGGCGTTGTTGTTGACGGGAGTGCTGGTGGAGGGGGTGGTAGTAGAGGAAGGGGGCACGAAGGGCGAGGGGCCCTTGCTCGAATTGGTAGAGCTGCCGGCAGAGCTGGTGCCATTGGGCATCGTCGCAGGAGTGGTATTGTTGGGCTGAGCACTGGGGGTGCTGGCGGTGTTGTTTCCACCCTTGCTTGGGGGGTTTGCACTCGCAGTTCCGGATGAAACCGTGGGGGGAGCAGTGGATGGCGGGCTAGAGAAGAAACAAGTCAGCTTCGAACGAGCAATCCTCGTTCAGAATGGGAGAAGATTACTAACGTGGGTGAACCTGAGGGGGGAGTGGTTGGGGATGGGCTGTTGCCAGACTTCAAACAACTGCTATCACTGCTGGGCTGGTTATGATTGATTCAAGCTTAGCGCTCTGAACGAATGAAGGAGTAGAGACGGAGGTAGATAGCTAACCTGGACGGTGACAGCCTGCGAGTAGTTGATGTTCCCTTTGGAGTCACGGATCTGGAGGGTGGTAGCGGTACCGGCAGCCAAGTTGGTGACCCAAGTGTAGCTCTCACCGGTTTGGGGGCCCAGATCGGCTAGCGGGAGTGCGCCGACTTGACCAGCGGGGATTGCCTGGTAAAAACAAGATATCAAAGGGGCGATTAATAGGAGGCCAGGGAGATTGGATTTTCCACAGGTGATGAGAAGCTTACCGTGAGCGTGTAGGGAGGAGTACCGCCATGGAAGGTCAAGAGTGTTGGCAAACATTGGACAACAGACTTTGATAGGGTAAGATGAGCAAAGGTTAGTATGGCGAGGTGTGTAGAGGGATGAGAAGTGAAGGTAGGCTTACCGATGGTGTATTGAGCACTGGGGCATCGGGCGGGGCAGTTTGTGCAAGGGCAAGGTTGAGAGAGCCCAAGAGGACGGCCAGATGAGAATGCATGCTGA